ATAAACAGATTGACAATGATAAATATAGAATTATCAGAGAGTTAACTCGGGGAAATTATTCAATCATTATTTACGCAATGGTGATGAAAATTGCTTTAAATACATGCTATACTCCTACAACTATATCACCAATCTCGTATGTGCATCTCTGCCTTTACAAAGAAATGTATAATGTGTTGTCTTTCCATTGTTATTTGAAACTGAATGTTCTGTAGGTTTTATATACTTAAACATATATATTCATATATTTGGTATTTTCACTGATACATGTGTATCAGGTTCACTGATCTTTGTCATTAAGATATATTAGCACGGACATTATTGATTCTAACAATGGCAGTGATATTAACCGTGATAATAGGAATATTTATGAAAATAATATAAGATTATGATTACTGCACATGTCATAATGTTGATAATTATGGGAATAATAGTAAATGTATAAAAACGGTGTTAGTGATCGTGTTAATAATGATGAAAATGATAGTGATAAGAATTCTGTCTAAAACATTGGCGATATTGATATGCTACAACCAACAAAAACACAATGAATACAATTAATGTTAATGGGACATAATAACTACTTCACTAATAATAATCACCTCACTAATAATACAAATGCCTTTTCCCATTTCCCTTTCCAGCCTTAGCCTACAATTTCGCACTGTTGATGGCCGGCCGCGTGTTAACAGGGGTCTGTTTGGGTATTGTGAGTTCCGTTGCTCCTCCTTATATAGGGGAATTCGCTTCTGCTAACATACGGGGTGCTTTAGGTAAGTAGGCCTACGTGTTTTGTTTTGTTTTGGAGTTATTGTTACTGTTAGTGTCGTTATTGTTATCAGTAGTAATAGCATTGTTGTTATCCTCATTATTATCATTGTTATTCTTATGTAAGTAGGCCTACGTGTTGTTTTGTTTTGAAGTTATTGTTACTATTAGTGTTGTTATTGTTATCAGTAGTAGTAGTATTACTATTATTACTATTGTTATCCTCACCGTTGTTATCATTATTGCTATGGTTATCATCACCACCATTATCATTATCATCACCATCATATTATATTCATTTATTCTCTTCATGCAACTATTTTTTCTTTTTTTTTCAGGCAGTAGTTTTCAAGTGATGTTGACAACAGGAATCCTCTATGCTTTCTTCTTGGGCGCAGTGGTTGGCAATTGGAGATTACAAGCATTCTTATGCATGCTTCCGCCGGGTAAGATGAATACGCAAATTATATTGAGTTAAGGTTAGAATATGGCGCATTTTAGAACCAACAATATAACAGAAATTGTTGTATAATTTAGTTTGAGTACTATAATATATTGTGTACCATTTAGTTTTATTATTTATATTAAACATGAATTATACAGAGCTACACTTCTTTCCGTTATGTGTAAAGTCAGTGGGTCATGTAGTGGAGAAATATCTCACTGCTTGTCTCCTTAAATCCGTGTTGTGGTATGGTAAACTTGCCCCAGACCAATTTTGATTTCACGAGATCCACTGTGCAGGATATGATCTTCAAACTAGTTCCACCTCAGTTATTTATGTAGACTTTGATTCACCCTTGTCGAGATAAAAGACTGTGACTCAAGTTTAGGGAAAAAGTTTTAGGAAGATCATTAGTGAACCCGGTCCTAAGTATGGGTTGTGTAATGATAGTCAGGGGGTTACCGTCTCTCGTAAAATGATTTAAAAAGAGAAGGATATAAAATAATATATATCAAATAATACCAAGAAAATAATGCTTTAGTAGGTAGTTTAGGAAACATTTTTCATGGCGGATGGAGAGAGATGTAAACCATATTTTAGAATACATTTTTAGCACGGTCATAAAGGAGATAAGTAAAACCAAATTAATAGTGGAGCAGGTAAGTGAAAGAACTGTTCAAATGGTGATGCAATCATAAAATTTGGTACATGTACTCTTCAGGTACCATTCTTTTAAAAAATACTGCTGGCCACGCAGAATGTAAAGAAGGCAGCCCCAAAATTCAACATGTCCGCCCCAAAGCAGGCAAAACAATTGGATTTTCCTTTATAATTTAAAATGTATTATTTTTAAACCACGTAAATGGGTATTGCTTCACAAATATATTGAAACTGGATAGAAAAATTGGTATTTTCACTGATACATGTGTATCAGGTTCACTGATCTTTGTCATTAAGATATATTAGCACGGACATTATTGATTCTAACAATGGCAGTGATATTAACCGTGATAATAGGAATATTTATGAAAATAATATAAGATTATGATTACTGCACATGTCATAATGTTGATAATTATGGGGATAATAGTAAATGTATAAAAACGGTGTTAGTGATCGTGTTAATAATGATGAAAATGATAGTGATAAGAATTATGTCTGGAACATTGGCGATATTAGATATGCTGCAACCAACAAAAACATATAATGAATAAAGTTTATGTTAATAGGACTTTGATGGACATGAAAGCAATAATAATGATAGCAGTCCTAACAATGACAGTGATCATAATATTGATAATAATAATAATGAAAATGATCACAATGATAATAATCCACGACCGCAATAACAGTATTAACAACATCAACAACAAAAAATACAATAACAATAACAAACGATAATCACACAAACAATACCAATATCAAGGCCAAAAACATAATAACCACTTCCCTAATAATAATCACCTCACTAATAATACAAATCCCTTTCCCCTTTTTCCTTTCCAGCCTTAGCCTACAATTTCGCACTGTTGATGGCCGGCCGCGTGTTAACAGGGGTCTGTTTGGGTATTGTGAGTTCCGTTGCTCCTCCTTATATAGGGGAATTCGCTTCTGCTAACATACGGGGTGCTTTAGGTAAGTAGGCCTACGTGTTTTGTTTTGTTTTGGAGTTATTGTTACTGTTAGTGTCGTTATTGTTATCAGTAGTAATAGCATTGTTGTTATCCTCATTATTATCATTGTTATCATTTTGTAAGTATGCCTACGTGTTGTTTTGCTTTGGAGTTATTGTTACTATTAGTGTTGTTATTGTTATCAGTAGTAGTAGTATTACTATTATTACTATTGTTATCCTCACCGTTGTTATCATTATTGCTATGGTTATCATCACCACCATTATCATTATCATCACCATCATATTATATTCATTTATTCTCTTCATGTAACTATTTTTTTCTATTTTTCAGGCAGTAGTTTTCAAGTGATGTTGACAACAGGAATCCTCTATGCTTTCTTCTTGGGCGCAGTGGTTGGCAATTGGAGATTACAAGCATTCTTATGCATGCTTCCGCCGGGTAAGATGAATACGCAAATTATATTGAGTTAAGGTTAGAATATGGCGCATTTTAGAACCAACAATATAACAGAAATTGTTGTATAATTTAGTTTGAGTACTATAATATATTGTGTACCATTTAGTTTTATTATTTATATTAAACGTGAATTATACAGAGCTACACTTCTTTCCGTCATGTGTAAAGTCAGTGGGTCATGTAGTGGAGAAATATCTCACTGCTTGTCTCCTTAAATCCGTGTTGTGGTATGGTAAACTTGCCCCAGACCAATTTTGATTTCACGAGATCCACTGTGCAGGATATGATCTTCAAACTAGTTCCACCTCAGTTATTTATGTAGACTTTGATTCACCCTTGTCGAGATAAAAGACTGTGACTCAAGTTTAGGGAAAAAGTTTTAGGAAGATCATTAGTGAACCCGGTCCTAAGTATGGGTTGTGTAATGATAGTCAGGGGGTTACCGTCTCTCGTAAAATGATTTAAAAAGAGAAGGATATAAAATAATATATATCAAATAATACCAAGAAAATAATGCTTTAGTAGGTAGTTTAGGAAACATTTTTCATGGCGGATGGAGAGAGATGTAAACCATATTTTAGAATACATTTTTAGCACGGTCATAAAGGAGATAAGTAAAACCAAATTAATAGTGGAGCAGGTAAGTGAAAGAACTGTTCAAATGGTGATGCAATCATAAAATTTGGTACATGTACTTTTCAGGTACCATTCTTTTAAAAAATACTGCTGGCCACGCAGAATGTAAAGAAGGCGGCCCCAAAATTCAACATGTCCGCCCCAAAGCAAGCAAAACAATTGGATTTTCCTTTATAATTTAAAATGTATTAGTTTTAAACCACGTAAATGGGTATTGCTTCACAAATATATTGAAACTGGATAGAAAATTTGGTATTGTGAGCGTTTTTGTATGCATCTGTTACATTTCTGAAGATATGACTCACCAAATGAACTTTGTCAGAAAATTTCATATACCCGTTCCTGTAAACCATAAGGTTACCTGTATTAAAGATGTCTGCAAGAAAACATGTGTAAATTTACATAAAAAACGTATTGCAAGTGTGATCCAGTCTCATACAGTAAAAACTCAAAGGTCTAACGTATTGATAGCATGAAGATCACACCTCATATTTGCAATTGCACAGAGCTGTACACATGGCACACAGTTTGTAGCAGTTGCACCTCCCACGACAGCCAGTTTTATAGCCACATTTAGTGAGCTGTTGGCAAGACTTGGTTATTGGAGAATTGGCTGTCCAGGAGACTCGCCATACCTCACAAATATATATATATATATATATATATATATATATATATATATATATATATATATATATATATATATATATATATATATATATATATATATATATATATATATATATATATATATATATATATATATATATATATATATATATATATATATATATATATATATATATATATATATATATATATATATATATATATATATATATATATATATATATATATATATATATATATATATATATATATATATATATATATATATATATATATATATATATATATATATATATATATATATATATATATATATATATATATATATATATATATATATATATATATATATATATATATATATATATATATATATATATATATATATATATATATATATATATATATATATATATATATATATATAT